GCCTAACGAGCTCACGCTGGCAGCAAGCCGGCCAGCTCGGAAGCTCAAGTCCCTGCTGACCTGCAGGCTTCCGGGAGTGGGTGTCATCCGGAGCAGCAGTGATTGTCTCTGCTTACTGCCTCCTCTGCGGATCCAAGTTTGATGAAGGACTCCAAATTGTGAGGTTACAAGATGGTTTTCCTTGCACTGAATTTTGGTCTTATGATCTCTTAATTGCCCAGTTACACAGGTCTTTTGAATAGTGTCTTTTTAGCCTGTGTCTCTTGCCACATCATACCACTCCCCAAGTAATGTTCACAAACTACAGATTTGATTGTTTCTTCATGCTAAAAACCCTTCAGTTAATCTATACAGTTCACAAAATAGTGTTCAAACCCCTTGGCCTAGAAGGCCTTTCTAGATTTGACTCGTTCCTACCTCCCCACCCTTATTCCCTCCAGTTTTCCTTCCATATCATACTTTTTATTTTTCTCACCATCAGCATCAACATCACCACCACTGCCACCAGCATCAGTATAATGCTTACGTTTTCTTTAGAAGTTGCCATGAGCCCAGCCTTGTTCCTTAGTGACTTACATATATTCACTCATTTAATCCTCTCCACCAAAATGTGAAATAGGTGTTATGATTATCTTCAGTTTACAGAAGAAGAAATATACGCACAGAGTTGCTAAATAACTTTCTCAGTGTCACAGAGTTATCAAGGGACAGAAGCAGGACAAAGCCCAGGCTTTTTAGCTTCAGAGTTCACGCTCTGACCCAGGTGTAGGCAAACGACCATCTACCGGACAAACTCAACCTTCCACCAATCTCTGTATAATTCATGTGTTCAGAATGGTTTTTACATTTTTTTCAGTGCTTAAAAAAAGCAAAAGAAGAGTAATATTCCTTGACATATGAAAATCATATGAAATTCAGATTCCACTATCCGGAAATAAGGTTCTATTGGCACACGGCCATGCTCATTCACTTGAACGTCGTGGCTACTTTCATGCTGCAACAGCAAAGCTGAACACTTGTATGAAGTTCATACATTAGTGGTACTTTCATCTGCTGCTTGGGGCATTAAAATTCATCGTGATGCCCAAGGACAAAATGGTAACCATGTGAGGTGATGTATGCTTCCTAAGCTTATCATGGTAATCATATTGTTATACATACATGTGTCAGCTCATTATGCTGTACACCTTAAACTGGTACAATGTTATGTCAGTTATATCTCAGTAAAACGGACAAAAAGTTTTCAGGAGCCAGAGCAGGTGAACATAGGAGAGAAATTGTCACAATTTAAGCAGTGAGTATTTGTGTAGCTGTTGTCAAGTTATAAGAGTATGTTCATGGCCCTGTCTGCTGTGTAGAGTGAACTACTCTTGCAAAAAATAAATATTAACAAGCTATTAAAAAAAGCATAGTGAAGCTGTTATTACTTAACAGCATCTTGAGTGCCTTGTGCATCTCTGTACTGCAACATTTTATTTACTTATTTTGTTGCCAGTGCATATCCATCAAGTCAAAATGAGAAAAAAAATTGACATCAAATATCACACTTTAAAGAATAGTGGAGTGTAGAATATTCTGATATCAAATTAGATGGTAAATCATTGTTTATAATGCAATGCTATTCACGCTATGCCAAAATTATATATTATATGTAGACATCACCAGACTAAGTCCTCATTCCTATATTTCCAACTCACAGGAAGCAACAGTCAGAGAAATTTGAAAATTTAATGGAATATCTCATTACAGCAGAATGTCTTTACCATCTAACCTTCAATAGAAAATGATTCATCTTCAGAGGGCAGGGTATAGCTCAGTGGTAGAGCACATGCTTAGCATGCACGAGGTCCGGGTTTAATTCCCAGTACCTCCATTAAAAAAGAAAAAAAACAACTAATTACCACCCCTCAAAAAAGAAAATGATCTTCTGCCATAAATGACATGCT